GCCCGGCGTGCCCCCCGGCGGCGTCGGCACCGACGGCCCGGCGCGTCGGCGACGGCGAGGCGCGCGGGATCAGGACCGCGCGGTACGCCGACCGTGGGGTCAGAGGGCATGGCCTCACGGTCGGCGTGCCTGAGCGGCGTGCGCTGGAACTAGTGACTGCTGCGTGGTTGGCACACGGAGCTGAGGCAGACACAGCGAGTTTTGATGGACGCGCTGTGAACAGCGGGTGCGTTCGGTTGTCCGCAGCCGGCGCCCCCTCTGCAACTGGACTCGTTGCACGTGCCCGTACACATGAGGAGGGTTGGACAACTGGTGCGGCATAGGTGAGCTAGGTTCTGAAGCTGGTTTCCGTTGCTGAAATAGACAGCTAAATTTTACAATGGTTCTCAGTTGCTGAGGTCGACTGCTGAGCTGGAATTCCGAGCTCGGGAGTTGAGGTTTGCAGTTGAGTTTGGTATTTGAACTGACCAGCTTAGCTCGGTGGCGGAGTTTCTTGGCTTACCGCAGCTGCGGAGCTGGCTGGGTGTGTGCGGCTGCTGAATGCTGCCAGCTCTGCTTGGTCTCCCGTCCCGCCCAGCCGCTAGTCCGGCCCGCCGGCGCCACTCGTAAAGTTTACCAGTCGGGCGGCGGCGGGCCGGCGTTATTCGTACCCAAACGGTGACCCGGCCGTGTCGCAATCCCATCAACTCTCGTCTATACGGCGCACTGCTCCGACGTGAGCGAGTCCCTTATCGGTCGTCACATCCGTACCAAGTCTCGGCGCTGTGCGCCGATAGCTGGGCTGTACAGCAAGCCTGACGGCGCCGGCTGCAGCAGAACTGTCAGCGCACTGCTGTAGCGTTGACAGTGTGTACCTAGGTGGGGGGGGGGGGGGGGGGGGGGAGGAGAGGATTGATGGCGGGGGCTGCCGTGCTCTACGCTCTCGTGGGGTGAGAGGTGTGCTGGTAGGGCTCTATCAGAATCCAGCTTTTGAGCCCGGGACAGGACCGAAGTTGGGCTGTATGAAGACTGACAGATGACCCCTGCAGGACCGACAGTTGAGCTGTACCAGAACCGGCGGCGGGACCGTAGCGGGGCAGGCGGTGCTGTAGCGGGGCGGCGGGGCGGCGGTGGCCGATGGAGGCGGCGAATCGTTGCACGCGCCGCGCGGCCCTGCAGACAGCGCGGCCCCAGGCGTGCTGCGGTCAATAGACTGCTGCCTTGGGTGGCGCCGCTGCGTCACGTGGAAGCCCAGTCCAGCCATGCCGACTCGGCCGGCCGTGAAGACGGCCATCAACGGGGACGTTGAAGGCAGCCGACATGGGGGGGGGAGGGTAATCCCGGGGAAAGTCTCACAGGTGCTGGGTAGAAGTGGTAGGGATTAAGGGACGGTCTGCTTCCAACACATTCGGTCCGAGTTGCGCAAATTGCAGTGAACGCTTTAGACATGTCACCGAACAGTGTGCGATAACGGCCACCTTGAGCCAGTGGGTCATTTTACTGCCACTGATGTTACGTAGTTACACAGGGCCACAATCAGCTTAATATCACATATGCAGTAGTGACCTTTAAGGAAACGTGCCGTGATGCTGGTCAAACCATCCAATTCATCAACGTGAATGTTGTTGCAATATTTGAGCCGACCAGAGTCGTCGGAGTGCTTCGTTCGGGGATAGGAACCACTCCCGTGTTGGAGGGGAGCGACAACGCTTTATAATGAATATAATGTCGCGGAAAATTGTAGCTTCGCTGAATCCTAGAAGCGGAGATAATCCGAAAAGAGCTTCACTAAATCCCTAGGCTGTACTGGAGACCACGCCCCTGGCGCCGCGCTGGCCGGAGAGCTGCTGCTGTCCCCCGGGGCTGTACCGGAGACCACGCCCCTGGCGCCGCCCTGGCCGGAGAGCCGCCGGTGTCCCCCGGGGCTGTACTGGAGACCACGCCCCTGGCGCCGCTCCGGTCAGAGAGCCGGCAGTGTCCCCCTGGGCTGTACCGGAAACCACGCCCCTGGCGCCGCCCTGGCCGGAGAGCCGCCGGTGTCCCCCGGGGCTATACCGGAGACCACGCCCCTGGCGCCGCCCTGGCCGGAGAGCCGGCGGTGTCCCCCGGGGCTGTACCGGAGACCACGCCCCTGGCCCCGCCCTGGCCGGAGAGCCGGCAGTGTCCCCCGGGGCTGTACCAGAGACCACGCCCCTGGCGCCGCCCTGGCCGGAGAGCTGGCGCCGTGACGCGGCCAGCCGTGACGGCTCACCGCGCACGCCAGGCTTAGTCGTCCCGGCCGGACCGAGTTGGCGGGCTTTGCCTGCAGCGCCGGGCTTTGTCCGGAGCTCAGCTTTGGCTGGACAGTTGAGGCGCCGCCGCTGACCGGTTGATTTACTTAGCCCGGTTGGGATCAGGTCGGTGGCCGGCCTGGCGCCTGGCGGTGCGGCCGGCCGGCCGTGTTGTCAGCATTAATGCCGCTCCTCAGAAGTAGCGGCGGTGCCCACATGCATGCGAGATGAGGCTGCGGTTGTGTGTGCCCAATACGGGCAGAGCTCTTAGCGAATATAGCCGGATCGCCTTTGCGCTTAATCGTCCTCGCGAGCCCCTGAAATATTTGTTTTCCGCTGACAGGCTGGTTCGCAGAAGCACGTCGCTAGTAGCAGTTCTTCTGGCTCCCTTCCATGACCCAGAGAGCCCAGAGCTAACACGACGTGATACTGGACCACCGGCACTAGGTCCAACGTCGAAGCTGCACATTCCTCCGTGCATCAACACGCGCGCAGGCCTTCGTCGCGTATGTGGACATCAACACCACGGTGGTCATCACGTCCAGCCGTGCTCGGGTCCGCCCGAAGTGTGTGCGCACCTGGCGCCCTGAAGAGTTGTGCCGCGGCGAGCCGCGCGCGGTAGCATTGAGACTTCCGTGTTTTCGTGTTCGCACCTCGGCAAACAGCAGCCTCCCCTAATGAAAATATGCCGTGCCGAGTGGGCCGCCCGAGAGCCTCATTACGGCGGCTGCCCGCCGCGGCGGCACGGCCGGCCTCACCGGCCGAGAGTCCGCCCCGGCCCCGCTGAGTCCGCCTCGGAGCGAGCTGAGAGTCCGCCCCGGCCCCGCGGAGTCTGCCCCAGGGCGAGCTGAGAGTCCGCCCAGCTCCGCGGAGTCCGCCCCTGAGCGAGCTGAGAGTCCACCCTGACCCCGCGGAGTCCGCCTCGGAGCGAGATGAGAGTCCGCCCAGCACCGTAGAGTCCGCCCCGGTCCCTTGGGGGAGGCCGAAGTGGCTGGTGTTTAAAGATCCGGGAAGGGGAGCTCTTGTTTCCGACGATCGATGCTGCTTCCGACGCATGGGCCGATGCTAATATCAAGGTAAGGCCATATCAAGGTGCTTTTTTGTCCCGACCATCCCGGACAGATATAGCAGTGGCCACCACCACCAAAGCGTTAAGTAAAGTTTTGCGGATTTCTAACCAATTTCCCAAGGTTGAGCCAAATTTAGTGCAGCCGAAAAAAGAAGTAGTGCAGCCGGGAAAAAAGCATTGCAGCCGAGATTAATAGCAGAACTAAAGACTAGTTCAGCCGAGGTAAACAATAGTTCAGCCTAATTAAATGTTTGTGTACCTGAGCTAAATAGCAGTGTAGCCGAGCTAAACATTAGCGGCCCAGGTCAGCAGGCCTCCGACGATGTCTGCTGCCTGCCCGGGAGCCTTGTGTTTGCCGACGCCTGAGACGTCAGCCCGTCGCCAGCGGGCGCACAGACCCGACGAGCCGTGCCACGCTGGCCTGACGAGCCGTGCCTCGCTGACCCGACGAGCCGTGCCTCGCTGACTCGGTGAGCCATGCCTCTCTGACCCGACGAGCCGTGCCTCGCTGGCCCGACGAGTCGTGCCTCGCTGACCCGACGAACCGTGCCTCGCTGACCCGACGAGCCGTGCCTCGCTGACCCGACGAGCCGTGCCTCGCTGACTCGGCGAGCCGTGCCTCGCTGACCCGACGAGCCGTGCCTCGCTGACCCCGGCGCGCTCGGGGGCCGTCGCCCACCTTTGGGGTCGATGCCGCCCGCCAGACGGCAGCACGCTCGGCCGCGCGGCCCCGCCGCCGCCCGCCTGGCTGCCGATCCTGTGATAGGTCAGGCCCCTGCCTGTCACGCCAGATCAGCGGCGCGGTCCGGCCACTGGGCGCCCTCCCGTCCGAGCCGCTGGCTGGCTTTGATCTACGGCTCGTGCCGGTGATGGTTTGAATTATGACGTGTTGCATGACAGCGCGGCATGGCAGGGGGAACGGAACGGGGGCAGACTAGGTGTTGCACTCACAGAGCGTGACGTCCCCCCCCCAACCTGGAGCTGCATGGAAAATAGCCTGGATCAGTGCTGTCATGACCTTGTGGCCAGATCGAACTAAGATTGAACTGAGAATTGATTGAACTGAGATCGAGATTGAACAGTGTCCCCCATATACCTAGTGATGTCGAGGTGTCCCGCATAACATGTCGACATATAGGCAAGGTATCATATATTATACTCATCGATCTCATCTTCTCCTTTCTTGTATGACCTTGCACATATGCTGGTGTCGGTCGCATGATGGTGACCTGGCATAGGGGTGTAGTTCGGCAAAATAAGTGGGAGGAAGGGGGGCTGAGCAGTGAAAATGACTGGATTTGCAAACGAAATACTATAAACGGGGCTCTCACCGAATCAAGCTCACTTTCCTCTCAAAGTTGAGGGGATAGATGGAGGCTGGAGCCCCCCTTCTGAATGAGAGCTTGCACCTTTAACTACGCATCCGACCGCTCCCCACCCTCACCTTCGACCGTGGCCCGAGTATGACCTGATCCCTCCCCTTCCGACAGGTCATGACGCCTCTGACACGACCCCTCTCCTGCCGATAGGTCGTGCCCCTGACCTGACCTTTCCCTTTGGACATGTCGTAACCCCTATGACCGGACCCCTGCCCTGCCGACAGGCCTTGACCCTTCTGACCCGACCCCCCCCCCTGCCGACGGTTCATGACCCCTCTGACCTGACCCCTCCCCTGCCGACAGGTCAGCTCCGGTCTCCACGCATCACGGAGCACCCCTCCGACACGATCGTGCCTCGCAATGACCCGGTGACTCTCAACTGTAAGGCGGAGGGCCGGCCGCAGCCCAACATCTCGTGGTACAAGGACGGCCGCCAGCTGACCATGGGCTCAGCGCACCGGGTGACGCTGCCCGAGGGCGCGCTCTTCTTCCTCACCGTGCAGCAGAACAAGAAAGAAGATGATGCCGGCGTCTACTGGTGCCTGGCGCGCAACGAGGCTGGCCTGGCGCGCAGTCGCAACGCCACGCTCAAGGTGGCAGGTATGTAAGGTGGGGAGGGGGGCGGCCGTGCGCAAGGCGGCAGCGCGGACGGGATGCGAGTTCTCGGCGACCGGGCCCCAACCGAGCACGGCAATGCTCCAATTGATTCGCGACAGGTCGACACACTAGACCTTGTTGGTCACCATTGGGACACGAGACAACACACTGGGCCTTGTTGCTCACGATTGGGACACAAGAGGGACTGCTGGGTGTCCATTCCGGAGCAGACCGGGCCGACGCCGGGGTGAGGATCTGCTGGCCAACACAATCAGTTCGCCGGTAAAATGGCGCAAGTGTGAGCCCCAACCGGTTCGCCGAGCCGTGCCGCTCTCCTGGCGCAGTGGCTGGCATCCGAGCCGGCAGCGGCCACCGGTCACGATTGGGCCCAGATTAGTATCACGGAGCAACTATTTATCATACCGCCGCGCAAAAACGGCCTCAAAGGGCCCGTGTCGAGCGCCGCCTCATTCACATTCCGGTGCCGGGGCCTTTTTAGGCGTATCGGGCTGCACGCGTCCCCCTGAGAGATGAGGCCCCGGCAATCGGCGCTCCTATCTGACGGCTCCTCACCTTCGGCTGCTGATAATAATTGGTAATGACCGGCGGCCGGGCCGACAGCGGAGACCGCACGTCGGCTCCTGTTGCGTCGTGCGTCGCTCGTCGGACCTTGTTATGCCAAACTGGCACCGATCGGTATCGCAGTCTGTTTGATGACAAGGAAGCGGCCAGGAGTGTTTTATGACGAGCGTTGGAGTGCGCTGACTCATGTGAGTGCGCCGAGTCACCTGGCAAAAAGAGAAGGTCCTGCAGGTTTCCGTAGGGTCCCGATCGGAAATCAAGAATGTGGAAGCTACAAGCGATAAGCTATCGCAGTTATCGCAATGAATAAATTTGCACAAATTTCCACTCGAACTGATTCGTAGCTCAAGTGGCTTTGATAGCCAATCTCCAATGTAGGCTGCGCGCTGCTGGGCGATAAGTTATGATCCGTCTTAAAATCTGCGTTCGGTTGGCATTGCGGCTGAGTGCCATTGATCATACCGCATCACCTGTTTGACACCCTGAAATAGCGTTGCACTGGCTAACGGTCCATGGCAAAAAGGGCACAACGTGACGTAAACCGCATCCGTCGCTGCTAGTTAATAACAATGCAGGGAAACACGGACGTTGGCTCAAGCAGACAGGCGTAGGACCGCAACCATGTCCTGCAATCCATTTTGTAGGTAACTTGAACCCGTGCACAGCGTCGCGGTTTTGCAGGTAATGCTTAATTTCTTAACATATTTCGGAGCATCCTCACATCAATGTATTCAACGTATTAAGCCTCCGTGGAAAGCACGGTTGTGGCGACGGAAGCCCTTCATTCGCATACATAGTGAAACTGAGCTGAGCAAGAACCTGAAAAGCAGAACAGACCCGCAGTTTTTATTTTCACTCCGCTCCTTTTTAAGTATGAGGCTGCTACCCCTCAGCGACCTCCGCGCTTCCAGCGGCCGGCGACCGCAGACCGGTCTCGTCCTCCCCGCACAACTGACTCTGAATGCCGAGCGGCAGCTCGGGCGGGGCTGCCGGCCGCATCGGTGCCGACGCGGCGGCCGCTGTGTCCGCTCCCCAAGGTCGAGGTCAGCCGGCCGCGCCCAGGCTGGCTGTCCGGCCCCGCGCGGTCCGCCGCGGGAGGTGGCGAGGCCGAGCGGTGCGGTCTGAGGCCGGCAGCACTCAGCGCCGGACGGTCGGAGGGTCCGCTGCTGGTCACCCGGACGGTCAGAGGGCCCGCCGCTGGTCACCCGGGCGGTCGGAGGGCCCGTCGTTGGTCACCAGGACGGCCGGAGGGTCCGCTGCTGGTTACCCGGACGGCCGGAGGGTCCGGTGCTGGTCACCCGGACGGTCGGAGGGTCCGCATTAGAGACGCAATTTTCTCTAAAATATCAGCCCGCAGGATAGCCCGCCCCGCCTCGCTCGGGATGCGGTCCCAAAAGCCCGCTATGTTACAATGATGCGGTAGTGATCCGCTACTGATCCGCCATTAAGCTGAAAAAACTAACTTACTTCAAGGTGCGTTTGATGATTTCACCTTAATTTTAGGCCAGTACGTCAGTGTGCATAAAAAGCATGCAAGTGTCACCTAATATATAGCATGATTTGGCTGACGCCAGTGGTGTCGCGAAGAGATGCAATCACAGTATCTGCACAGTGGCATATCTAATGCACCAAAGCGTTAGACCTTAAACACTGTGATAGTAGTTTTCAACTGCAGATGAGAAGACAGAGGGTGAAAATCAAATGTTCCTTTCACCAAAATGCTCCAGAGATTTCAATTTCACCCTTCCACCTCATCTCAATAGGCCACAGGCCATTTCTTCTCAAATCGCATTTATCGAGTAATGGCCTTGCACCGACTTTACACTAAGTTGAAAATGCGGGATGTTTCAAGTTATGGGAAATGTCAGTACATTACAATGTACATAAACTCAAAAACCACTTCACCGCGTCACAATATTCTTTCCTGAAGTGAATACATCATGCACTCACGCCACATAAAAACCACATGGTAGCTCTGAAGTGATCCACATTTCTCTCGTACCACTGTCCCCGTTCCCTCCCCCCCCCCCCCTCCACAACCACGACCGCGCCACTGGATACGGCTTGAAAGCAAGGAAAGCTATGATATTTCGTCCACGAATAGTTGCTCCTCTTGCGACAGCATTGACATTCAGCAAGGCTATCAGATACCGTAAGATATTGTTGCATGCTGCGGAAAATGTTGTATGAAAACAAATGAGAGTTGTAAAAATAATATCCCGGAAATCTTCTTGCAGCTCACAAAGCCTGCAAGCAGCTTCTTTCGTTATCGAATGTTATCGAATATTTCATTGGCATCATATGTTGAGATGTTTGATGCACACAGAACTGCATACAGGTACCAATATGGGAAAAATAAATAAGTCAGGCAGAACAAAAGCCCTCGTGCATAATATATTGAAAAATAACAACAGGTCGCAGTGAGGAAAAACCATATAGCGTAAGTAAGTGCCCTGTAGTCGTGGTCGCAAATTGCACCTTCTTCAGACGTAGATAAACAGACTCCACGCCGCCACGTTTTCAGTTTCGACAGGTTTGGGCATTTAATGCGTCAATAGCTGCTGACTGTAGTGACATATGAGTGAAGCTAAGGCAATGGAGGGCTCACAACTTTCATGCATTCCACCAATCATGAATATGGATTGTGATTTGTAGGATGTGGTTTTAGTGCAAAGGCTGAGTGCACCACGCCATCACTGTAGCAGCTAAGTACAGTGCGTCGCTGTGTTTATGCTGAGGGACCACCTTACTGCTGCTCAATGGCATTAGGCTATGGTTTTGAAAGTTTGGGTTGTTATTCTTTTTTAGTGGGATGTGTGCTTTAAGTTGTTCAATTTGTGCAACCTCTGGTGTGTTATGTCTATCACAAGCTTTCTGTTTCTGGTGCTATTGCTGTAAAGATAACAATATATTTTTTCATGATTATGTTGTGTTTGGCAGCACATCCTGGTTTCGAGGTTGTTAAAAAAATTAGGAAATGACAAAAGATCCTATATTTTGCCTGCTAAAATTTCTGACCCGCAAAGCCCGTCAAGCCTGGCCCTTAACCCAGCCAAAAGCCCGCGGGCTCTTGCGGCTCAGAAATCAGCGGGCGGGCGGGTTGAAAAGTTGCGTCTCTAGTCCGCACCTTGGACACTGCCGTACGATCGATCACGGCCCGTGACGTCACAGACGTGGCAGTCACGTGATAGCGCGGCGGCCGTGGGGCCTTTTTCAGCGTTTGCTCGTCATGTCCGCAGCTGCTCACCTGGCGACGGCGGCAGTGTCTGCTGACGTCACAGAGTTCTGGACGAATCAGACGGCCGCCGTCATCGCATGTCATTCTTGACAACACATCAAAGGCCTAAGATTTCTTTATGTGCTGCCGCGGCCACCTCCCTTGCCTTCCTCAGCTCTCCTGGCACGCGGCCGGCTGGGAAGAACTCGGAGCTCTTTAGTGTTGCATGGACGGAAATCCCACAACGTGGTGCTCAATTTCGACCGGGAATTTAAGCCGCCTGACGTTGGCGCCGTATTTGGGCTGGTTGTGAGATAATGCTGACTCCGTGCACCGTTCCATGAAGGAACTCGGCCCGACATTGTTGGACCCCACCTAAAGCCAGCCTTAAACGCTAACGGGACAGTGTATGCTGCAATCTAAGCTCCATCTTAAGACGGAGCACACGATTTTCACAGCAACTGTCTAATAAGTTAATGGGGTTGTTTCAATCAAGCGCTTGCCTGCGCACGGGACAGTGCGTATGGCCTACAGTGCGCGCAGAGAGGCTGAAGGAGGACTCCTAGAGGCCGCACGTTCTCCATGGATTGGCCCTGCTTCGGTGCTGCTCAGCTAACGTCCCAGCTCCGATCACGTCCGAGCGGCTTGGCGGCCACCGCATGCCGTGCCGCTTCCTGTTCCGGGCCGCGCAGGTGCCTTGTTTCGTCCGGCGCGAGTCCGTCTGGACCACGCAGACGCGCCTCCTGTGCAGCCTGCCGTTTGTCCAGGCTCGCAGACGCGAGCGCGGATTTCGGTCGTCCTGCCCGCGCCAGCCAGAAGCCGGCTGCAGCGGCTGCGGGTGTCAGAGGCATGTCACGACCGGTGTCGTCAAGCCCCGGTGGAAAAATCACGGGTCCTTTTTCCCGGATGAAGTGGCCAGAGGACTGTTGTCCTGGCTGGAGTAGTCCTAGCTCTGTTGCGCAGGCTGTATTGGTCAAAGCTCGGCTGCTATGGCTCCTCCTTACGTCGGACTCCGAAGTGGTCGGAGCTCCGTCGTCCGGGCTGGAGTGGCCAGAGCTCGGCTGCTATGGCCCTTTACGTCGGACCCCGGAGTGGTCGGAGCCCCGTCGTCCGAGCTGGAGTGGCCAGAGCTCGGCTGCTATGGCCCCTTACGTCGGACCCCGGACTGGTCGGAGCCCCGTCGTCCGGGCTGGAGTGGCCAGAG